GTCCCCTTACCGTAAGTTCAAGATAGTCACGTGTCTTACTACGCCAAATGTAAGCTTAGGCTATCCTCGAAAAAAACGGCTACATTTTAGGGTGGCCAAAAACACACCCTGACAGGGCCTCAGTCAAGTGTGAATTTCAGACTACCGGCGACTTAAATTGCTGACTTCCGGCGACTATACCGCCACCGCCGAGAGTATCTCCCGCGCCGCTACGCGCGAAGCTAAATTAGATGGCTGGGACTCACGAGCAGCAGCTTCGACATCTCCTGCAGCTTTGCTCGTGAGTCCCAGCCAACTAGTTTAGCTCCGCTCCGCGCCGCGCGTAACGGGAGATACTCTCGGTGGTGGCGGTATAGTCGCCGGAAGTGAGCACTTTACCTGTTTCTGATGCCCTGTTTTTGGCCGCCATAATATGTGGCCGGTATTAGGAGGATAGCCTAAATTTGACTACCAGTAATCTGGTTTAAAGAGCCTTCAACAACTGTTGCTTCTTAAATACGCCGGCGGATGTGCTTTTTTTTCTGTTTTGTATTTGTTCCTTTGTCTAAATGAATATTTATTTCATGTTTTTAAGTCGTTCAAAGCGCGTTAAGTTGAAACTGGAACCAAGTGGATGATGAATTAGCAGAGGTAATAATAGGTTTTGTGAGCTAAAAGGAACTATTAAAACGCCTCCTTTTTTAATGGTTTGATGTTACCGTCTGCATGACAATAACTGTGTTACCATTAATACTTGTAGAGGTTAAAACCGTGACCTCGACAGCGGGGACAAGCTGTTACTTGGAAAAACCAGACTGTTCTAGTGGAAGCTGTTGGTGTGGGCGTCGTATGGAACTGTTTATCACTAGGCACCAGGTTTAAGGGCGGCGGTGCTTGCTATATAGTTGATTACTTTAGTTATGGTCTCGATGACAAAGCAGCTGATTTGGTGTTTATTTGACACAGAGCTATCTTTAATTGTTTGCCAGCTTTGACTTTTATCTGCAGCCTCATTATTGATTACTGGAGTTGCACTCCCACACGGTGTGATTTTTAGAACAAATTCTAATTGATATATTTCTGGTTTGGAGTGTTGTGATTACATATAACTGGGTGTCTGAAGTCACTGACCAGTTGTGTATGAGATAACGTGACAAAGTCTGTCAAATACAGTTTATAATTTGTGCCTGAGTTAGTTTATAAAGTGTACCTGAGTTAGTTCACAAATTGTGTCTACTTTATATGATAAATTATTTCAGAAATAGTTGACCAATTCAGTCTGAGAAAGTTCATAAATTTTGTTTCGAGGTAGTTAATATATTGTTTCTGACTGAATGTTATAATTTGTTTCTAAGTAACTTTATAAATTTAGTCTGAAATAGCTGATACAGTATGAATTAAATAGCTGGTAAATTGTGTCTGGTGCTAATTTATTAATTATGTTTCGATGTTTTATAATTTATGTTTGAGATGTGTTCTAAATTATGTTTAAAATAAAATAAAAATTGTGTCTAAGATAGCTGACCTTGCGTGTCAGGGGTTAGAAAAGGATGTTCTGAGCACATGAGGAAAATAGAGAGAGCGGGGGGGGGGGGGGGGGGGGGGGGGGAGGGGGAAATTACAAAACCAACTACCTGATCTGTTATCATCCTTTGGATATTTTCTGCAGGAAAAAATCGGTGAGTTGGGAAAGGAAAAGTCAGACAGATTGGCTGGCTCTGCATTAAGTGGTGGCAAATTGATAAATGACGAGCTAGAAGGACCTTTTGAGAGCGAGTAAACAGTGCGGAGGCCCAAAGAGAACATCGTGATATGTGGAGATTGACGCTGCAAGGAGTGATCCATTGATCCGTTTGGCTTTCAACATGCAGGAGAATGGTTAAACCGTAAAAAAAAATTAAAAAATAAAAAAAAAAAAAAAAAAAAAACTATTACTGGTACCGTCAAAAATGGAACTCTGCAGTTGCTGCTGAAGATGGGGACATAGCGTTTATGGAAGTGTCCCGAATGCTGTAATGTCGGCTCTCAACTTGTAACTCATACCTGTTCCTTAGGGCTGGTGATCACGTGAGATGACCGCTTATGCTTACTGGCTTGGCTCATGATGATAGTGATAGGATTTTGCTTTAGAGTAGTGGTCACCGTGCTCGTCCGCACTATGACTCAGGTTTAAATCCTTCAAGTTGCATCATCATGCAGTAGGTCCTTTGCAGAACGTCGCTCTCATCACAACCCGCCTGAAAGAAACTCGGTCTTTCACTACATATTCCGCGTGCCAAACTTGCCTACACAAGGTGTCCTTTATACTAGTGATTTTCTGTATTCGGCCGAATACGAATAACGGGACCAACTATTCGGCCGAATACGAATAACGGGACCAACTATTCGGCCGAATACGAATAACGGGACCAACTATTCGGCCGAAAACGAATAACGGGACCAACTATTCGGCCGAACACGAACACAAATAGTGAATAGTGAATTAAATATATCTAAAAAAAACCCACAAACACACACACAAACACACACACACACACACATTCATAATGTCAAATATACGCTGAAACTTTTACCTCACATAAAGTAGCACAGAATAGTCATCTTCTTCTTTAGCATTCTGAACCCTTGAGGTTTACTGCTACAGACTGTTTTCGAAAACCTGTCATAAGGCCTCATTTTTTTAAATTTCTGTTTCAAGTTTCAGAGCCATATAAAACGACAGGTCTTATCAACGTTTTATATATTTTGATCTTGGTGTTGCGAGACAGACACTTTGACTTTAGCAGATGTTGAAGGGCATAGTATACTTTATTTCTAGATTGTATTCTATATTGTATTTCTTCTCTCAGCATGTTGGAGCAGTTGAAGTTTTCACCCAAGTAATATGTTTCCGTTCGTTTGATTTTCATATTATCGACTTGGATGTGGCCGGAGTTTATATACTTTCCATGTCTAGTTAGTATTCGTACAGAATAGTAAATATTTAAAAACATTTTATGTGTTGCATCTTTCAGTCAGTCTGCGGTAACTAATAACTAGGAATGAAAGAATCCTCAGTATTATAACAAGTCACTAAACTTGTAAATTGTCACTGACAGCTTAGTTAATACATGAAAGCTGTATTAGCTTTCAACAAAACCAATCGTTCCATGTTGTCAACATTAAGGCCGTGTATGCAGAAGCTGTAATGAAAAGTACTTGATACGAATCTAACAGAAGGGCACATTTCAGAGATCTCTTCCTGCGCTGACGCCGTGAGGCCTTCCAGGTGTAGAGATAAGAAGTAGACTCCAAGTGTTTGTAGTTCTGCTCCAATATTTTATTTCTGACTTTTGTGATACAGTACTATTGTGTTCATGTTGTTCTTTTTGCATTCCTTACAGACACTGGACAAAACATTGGCACAGGTCGAGATGGCCCTGTACAAAGCATATAACAGAATAGAGGATTAATTGTAATCAATGAACAAACATATACAACTACTGATATCAGTCAGATGTGGTTTGAATTATTGTAGCTAGATGGATGAGCATATGATCGGATTGACTACAGTCATTTAGCAGAACTTCAAATTGCTTCAGCGAACTAGCAGAACACCAGATTGAATCAGCGAACTATCAGAACACCAGATTGAATCAGCGAACTAACAGAAAGTAGGATTGGTCTGCCTACTAGTTCAAGTTACGATTGAATCAGCCAACAAGCATCTAGCCAGCTTGATATTACCAGTTACCCGTACACGGGTTATAATTTTCTACCACAATACACAGTAGGATCAACTTCAATCATTCCAGCATATCTCAAAGTTGCCTCAGCGAAACAACAGAGCATATAAACGCTCAACACCCAAGCCGATGTCAAAACACCAAAATAGTTCATCCCACTCAGACATCATATCGGCAGCATTGATTCCGCAGAGGAGAAACCTTCTTCATGTCAGGACTGACTTCATCAAACCACTTGCCGTCATGCGAGTGTCACTGGTCGAGTCAGGATTGATTGGGTCAAAATCACATTGATCAAGATTTTTGGGCCAAATTTGGAGTGATCAGAATTGGATGAAACAACATAGTATTAAACAGGATTGATTGAACGAGCGTAGCATAAAGGTATGAGAGAATGAAAATTGCCATTCTAGGCTCAGCGTGGATGGACAAATTACCGAAGCTTCAGAAAAGTTCCAAAGCCAAAAATTTGTTCCCAAAAAATGGTAAGTAGGTCATCGTTAAATGAGCTGATGAATTTTATTATAAGCTTTGATTCAGTTCGGTTTTGTTCGCTTGTTTGTCTGGTACAAGTTTTTCGTTTGATTAAAAAATAAAATTTTCCTGATAAGCTATCCGGCTGATATTTTAGCACGCTTTGTGGATGACAGTACAATTTGGTGACAAACATATTCCGAAATATATATTTTTACCGGTCATTTTTTATGTCCAGTGTTTAATATAGTCATAATATAACATGCATTTGTCAAGGAAAATAATTCTTTTACCAATGGAGATAATTTATTAATATACTGTAATTAGATTGCCCGGATATCTACACTATACATTGATAAGTTATAGAGTACACATTGTGTATTTATTGGCTTTGCTAATGTCACGGCAGTGTCGTTGACAAATCTTACGAAAAAAAAGCAAACGGCACCACCACCACCACCACCACTATTACTACTACAACTACTACTACTACTACTACTACTACTACTACTACTACTACTACTACTACTACTACTACTACTACTACTACTACTACTACTACTACTACTACTACTACTACACTACTGCAGCTGCTACTACACTATTAAGCCTCCCCCTCCTACTACTGCTACTGCTTGTACTGCTGCTACTGCTACTTCTACTGCTACTACTGGTGTTGCTGCTGCTACTACTACTGCTAATATTACTTCTATTAATACGTCTGCTACTGCTGCTGCTGCTACTACTACTACTACTACTACTATTACTACTACTTCTACTTCTACTACAACAGCTACTACTACTTCTTCTGCTTCTGCTGATATGTACATTCTATTTCAAGTATGTCTCACATGTGCAGGTATTCCCGGAGAAGGACACATACTATGCAAAATCTGTGGAGACAAAGCGTCTGGCTTCCATTACGGTGTGTTCTCCTGCGAGGGCTGCAAAGTGAGTATTGTGCTGAATCTCATAAGGGGCCGTCGTTGGGAATAGTTGAGTAAACCATCTACCTTGGTTCTGCAGGTTGTCGGTTTGGTGTGTGTGTGTGGGCGGGGGGGGGGGGGCAGGGGGAGGGGCAAGATTAGACCAACTGCCCCCTAATAAGCATGTCGTAAAAGGCGGCTAATTATGGATGTTACTTTCCAAGTCAGAGTGCATCTTCATGAAAGGTGGGTAGCCAATAGTCTGCACACAAATAAACCAAATTTGTAAAATGGATTTCCACGTAAAGGACTTGTCTGTAAAGCTTATGTGGCAACAGGATGAAAGCAATGATAATGACGACGATGTGTGTGTGTGTGTGTGTGTGTGTGTGTGTGTGTGTAAGAGAGAGAAAGAGGGAGCGCACCTGACGTTACGGTTCAGTCGTCACACTACTTAGTGGTAATTACCATATATTACCCAATTCGGCCCTATTTTCCTAGGTCACGCTCCATTTCCCCGACAATAAAATGACATCCTTTTCTCCCTATTTACGCGCTAGTGTAGTCTTTCTTGCGATCTTATTACTATCCTAATCAAGGGCGCCGATAGAACTAAAACAGGGACGGGGGCGCAGGGGCGCCCATAGAAATAAAAAAGGGGCGGGGGCGTAGCCTTTACCAATTTTCTGAGGGTGGGCTCTAGGGGCCCAAACTTTGAGTGATTTATAATAATAATAATAATTATGAGGTTCTTTTCTGTTATTTGACCCCAAATCGGGGACTCCTAGATTTCCTATGGAGTTCACGAGAAGACCCAATAGTATTCGGGTGTTAGGGTATGATATGAACACCGTCTAACACTAATCCTAACCCCCCCTCCCCCTAAAATATTGCACTTTCCCGGGAGCTCCCCGATGAAATCTTGGAGTCTCCTAGATGGGGTGAAATAAACGAAAAGAACCATTTTTATTATTGAACATTATTGTTTTTTTTTTTTAAATTCTAAATGAATATAATAATATATTTGAAATAATATGGCATGCATAGTTAAACCTTAAGACGAAAAAACTTCTATGCATTATTATATTTAGGAAAGGGGTAGCCTGACGTCACAAAAATGGCCCTTATACACTTATTTGTGGCGCAAGCAAGCTTGAAATGCTACTGAGGTTTCTTCATTTCTTTCTTTTGTCCATATCTGAGGTGTGCCATTATCTTAGGTAGGTTAACACTTGATCTGTATCCGAGCTAGGGCATGCTCGTTTGCTCGGCATTCTGTGATGTTATGCATTCTCAAGGTATCATTGACTCCTTCAGTCCATTTCTTCTTGGTCGTCCCCTGTCTCTTGGTGTTTCTATTTTCATGTTGTAGGCTCTCGCTGCTGGTATCATTTGATTCATTCTCTTAAATTTGCCAAACCGTTTCGTTCTTTATTTTTCAATAAATTCAATTATAGCTTCTTTTCCCGTAGTTCTGTTAATTTCTCCGTTTGTCATTTCTAAATACGAGTTTGCGGCGTCCGTGGCTAAGGCGTTCCGAGTCCGACTCGTAAGCCAGCATACCGCGATCGAAACCCACTACAGGCTGCGTGGATTTTTGTCGTGGTATGGGACGTCGCCGGTCGACCCAGCCTAAAATGGGTACCGGGATAAGCTGTCCTGGGAAAGTAAAGACAGCCGGCGTAATGCTGACCACATTACCCACCGAGTTATGATGGTCTGTAAAAATATGGGACGCTCTGCCCATATGCCCGATGCGCCGAAAGGCGTGAAAAGGGATCTTTACTTACGAATTTAGACTCCAAAGCGCAAGGTGGGCCAAGGTTCCCAGGGACTGAAGGTTTAATCCTGACTGGTCAGTAACTCGAAACCTAAAGTTTGTAGCAATGCAGCTGGCGTTTGGACATCTTCGGACACTGGGCACATTCCTTGACAGATAGGCATTTCTTAGATGAGGGGATATTTTGTGTATTAATACCATGGTTTGTTTTCTTTTAATTTACCGGACTCCGAGATTTCGTGTATAGTTCTTGGGAAAACCAATTAGTATAGTGTTACCAAGTTAGGGAGTGACTTCGTCTTCGTCTTAGCGTTCACCAGCTGTACACTCAGGCGGAAAGTTCTGATTGTTTATCCACTTCTGAACTGCAGTCCTGCTCCAGAACCTGAGTGTTGCGTGTGCGTCAGTTTTACAGAGCTGATTCACTTAAATGCAGACTGTTGGTTCCTTGCCTCTCAGGCAGATGCACTCTGACTTTAAAGGAAGCTCCCTAATTAGTCGACTCTTACGACATGCTTTAGGGGAGGCAGTGGGTCTATTCTTGTTTTACCCACATTGGTGCCCGGAGGGGGGGATGGAAGGGACATCCATGACTAACAATTACCATAACGCTTACATACTATACTGGTGGAATTTAGGGCAACTCCCTAGGACATCTCGGAGTCTCAGAGATGAGTGAACTAAAAGAAAAGAACCCACCATTGAAAGCGACCCAACACGATCTTGCAGATGCCTTTTAGGTGATATGTGAGTGGGACTGGAGCTGCAGATATTGCAGCTCTGTTGTCAGGCGAGGACGGAGAGGAGAAAAACAGAAAATAAGAAGAAGAGGAGACGGCGAAGAAATAAGTCTGAGGAAAGGGAGGATAAAGCACCAAATTATGAAGAAGATAAAGAGTAAAAAAGAAGTTGGAGAAGAAAAACAAGAGGACTGAAAAAGAAAGATGACGAAAAAGAAAAAAAAGGAACAGCAAGGAGAATTAGGAGAAGAAGAAGAAGAAGAAGAAGAAGAAGAAGAAGAAGAAGAAGAAGAAGAAGAAGAAGAAGAAGAAGAAGAAGAAGAAGAAAAAGAAGAAGAAGAAAAAGAAGAAGAAAAAGGAGAAAAAGAAAAAGAATGAACAGAGAAGTATAATTAAAATGATAATATTAATATATTTTTAAAAAACCCAACGAGTGCATACATCTGTTTATACGAAGTAACGAAACAATATACGCTTATGTGAACATATTGCAACCTGTTGTGAATGGTGACAATGGCCCTCTGCATGAATTTCCGTTTCTTTCATCTTCCAGGGGTTTTTCCGGCGCACCATTCGGCACCAGTTGACATACAAGCCATGCGAGACGCCAGGACAGTGTCTAATCATGCGGATCAGCCGCAACCGGTGTCAGTACTGTCGGCTTCAAAAGTGTATCTCTTCGGGTATGTCCCACGAAGGTTAGTACTGTCTTGCGTCTCATCTACTGAAATTCCCTGTGTAGATACCGTGGTCCCATGTGTGAAGAACGAACAGTCGGCATTCAAGTGATTCAGACCTGTAAAATGGGTACGCAACACTCAGGTTCTGTAACGGGACTGGAGTCTATAAGTGAACGAGTAACCAGAACGTTGCGCCGGAGCTTACAATCGGTGAGCGCGAAGAAGAAGATTAATTAAGATATATTTTTTATTTCAGGTCGTGACAGTGTTTAGGGAAACGAACAGTCAGATAGACTGGCTGGTTTTGCACCACTTGGTGGTGGTGAATTCATACATGACGAACTGTATGTTGAAGTAGTCCTCTGGGAGGGAGTCAGTGCGGAAGAACACACAAAGCCATATCACGAGCCATAGGGAACAAAACAAGGCACAGTGAAATCGAACTTCTTTTAGTGAATATCTTCTGTGGCTAAAAGAGTTCATTGACTTCTTCTATTTAGCTCTTTCCTCTTCTGTCCCGGGGAGTCGCCAAGGTGTACCAGCTAGACGCTTGCCTGCGGATCCGAAGGTTGAGGGTTCAAGTCCTGACGGAGGTGGACTTTTTTTCCTCCCCTCAAACCTCTCCGGTCGACCCAGCCTTAAATTGTTGCCAGGCAAAGTCATGGAAAGTAAAGGTGGTCGGCGGGATAATGACCACCTCACCTACCGATTGTCGATGTGTCTGTAAAATATAGGTTTAGCCCTATATACCTAATATGCCTAAACGGCGTGGGAAAAGGTCCGTAACTTTTTTGTTTGTTACTTACTTACTTCTAACTTGGGGTGTAGCTGTCAGATATGTTTCGGGGCCAATGTAAAATTCAGGACCTTTCTCGCTTTTTGATTTGTTTTGTTTTGTTTGTTAGCCTCGTTATACCTTTGAGAAAATAAGCAATGGGGTAAGATTGGATTGGATTGGAAGACAGTGAAGAGCAAGTGGAGACGGAAGTCGACGAAAAGAAGGAAGACTAGTATTTGTGGCAGAAATTGTGGTGGAAGCAGCGGTGGTCGTAGTAGTATTTGTGGATTTAGTAAGGTAGTGCAAGTAGTTTTAGTAGTAGTAGTCGTCGTAGTCGTAGTAGTGGTAGTAGTAGTAGTAGTAGTAGTAGTAGTAGTAGTAGTAGTAGTAGTAGTAGTAGTAGTAGTAGTAGTAGTAGTAGTAGTAGTAGTAGTAGTAGTAGTAGTAGTAGAAGTAGTAGTAGTAGTAGAAGTAGTAGTAGTAGTAGTAGTAGTAGTAGTAGTAGTAGTAGTAGTAGTAATATTTAGTGTTGTGGTAGTGGTACTAACAGTAATAGTAGTTCTTGTGGTTACTAATGTTGTCCTCGCTGTTGTGTTCTGTAATTAATTCGCTTTCCAGGAATCCACACCACCAATATCAGATGTGGAAGAGATGTGCTGTTGTCAGCTTTAATTGTGGAGCCGTACCTGATTAATTAATTCCATCCACGGGTTTTCCCGGCCGATTTCCATTACTGTTTCTATTAAGTAATGTAAATTATTTTGCGTTATCTCTTCACTGAAGGGACTCCGACGGCTGAATTAATAATATCTTTGTGATGTATAGCATTCCCCTTGGTGAAATGGTTCAACCCTTGAATGATATGAAGCTAATGTATTTGTTACCTTTCACTGTAGATGTAACCCAATCCTTTTCGTGTTAATTAATCCATAAACTAGACTGTAGTCATAAAATAATATGTTTTTGTGAATGCAAGTGAGAGGGTAAGTCGTGGACTTTTGGCAGTCATTAGGGAATACAAAAAGGGCCTTTGAGGTGAAATGCTATAAAGAAATTTTGAGAATAACATAGAAGAAGCAAATAAATACTGGCATAGTGAAAGATGTGAATGAACATTAAGGAAGGCTGGCTAAAGTGTCACTGTTTATGGGAAAAAAATAATATAAGAAGGCACGGTACCAGGACAGAGAAGCAGATGCCGATCGGCACTAAGATGGGCACAGGATTCAATTAATTCCTTGGCTAGGAAAGTGCATGAGGCGGGAGAGCTGGCCTGAGACAGAGTGCCTATCAGGCAGAATATGATGAGAGCGACGTTCTGCAAAAGACCTTCTATCTGATGAGGAGTGGGATTGGTGACTATTTACGCACGATAAGCACTTATTTTGTCAAGGCGTCATCATTCTTTTCGTCATTAGCGTCATCCAAACATGAGGACACTTGAAACCAAGGTTTCTTGAGCGCCCCCTCATCTTCGATTGAAACCAAGGTTTCTTGAGCGCCCCCTCATCTTCGATTGAAACCAAGGTTTCTTGAGCGCCCCTCATCTTCGATTGAAACCAAGGTTTCTTGAGCGCCCCTCATCTTCGATTAAAACCAAGGTTTCTTGAGCGCCCCTCATCTTCGATTGAAACCAAGGTTTCTTGAGCGCCCCTCATCTTCGATTGAAACCAAGGTTTCTTGAGCGCCCCTCATCTTCGATTGAAACCAAGGTTTCTTGAGCGCCCCTTATCTTCGATTGAAACCAAGGTTTCTTGAGCGCCCCTCATCTTCGATTAATTTTGAGGGTTAAGGGATTGCTTTGTCCCCACGCCCACAAGCAAATTTGTAAAGGGGCCTAACTCTACTCTAGTTACCAAGTATAGGAGTTATCTTTATAAGTAATTGTTTTTCCTGTTTCATATTATTCTAATATTTTTTTTACTATCTCGCATATGATTATTACTATTACTGTTATTGTACTTCCTCTTGATTAAAAAGATCTATTTTGTCTGTAGAGTAGCAAGTATTTATACAGACAACATAGATCTTTATATCACGAGGAAGTCCACATAAAAGAAGAAGTAATCCAATCATCCACCTTAAACAAACTACTATTTGCTGACGACCAGTGCTTGTTCTACCCTGAAGAAGATAGACTGCAATACCACTTTAATAGGTTAAACTCAGCATGCAGTATACACAAGATGGAGATCAATGCAAACAAAACCGAAACAAGGCAAAGTTAGTAGAACACATGCAGCTGAATGGTTCTGGTCTGAATCATTTTAAGGGGGTTTAAATATCTAAGGAGTATCATCACGGAAGATTGTAGAATTGACAGAACAATAGAAACAGCCTGTCAGAAAGCAAGTGCGCTTGTTTACTAATTGTCACCATTATTAATACATTCAAGTTAAGAGACAAATTATAAACAGCATATTCACTCCAACTTTAAGCTACAAGTGCCCAACGTGGACACTATCTGACGCCCATATACGCAAAATCACCACCTCCGAGATGAGATGCCTGAGAAAAGCCGCCAACCTCGCCCCCTGAGATCGAGTGAATAATGATTCTCTCAGACAAACTGCGGGAACGACACCTTGTACTAGATTCATTGAGAAACATCTTCTCGAGTGGTTTGGCCATCTCGTTAGAATGCAGCACGATCAAATACCATCACAAGCACTACATCTCAGAAGATCAGCTAAATGAGCAAGAGGACGGCAGCTGAAATATGGATCGACAGCATATAAGACACTCTACGCCTTCACGGCATGACGATAACCAGTGACAGCCAGCGTGCACTGGATCACAAATTATTCCTCCCCACGTAGTTTGGCCGCAGAAGTCGTTTCTGATGATGATGATTAGGATAATTATTATTATTTTCGAAAAACAGGGATTAAGCTCTTCGTGGCTCCTTAGAATATGTGTCTGAAAGATTTAAGGCCACCACCCCTTGAAATGTTTTCTTCTTGTCGGCGATCTCGTCATCGTCGTCATTATCATCACGTCGTTTATATCCATAACAGGACTCACAGTCTATTTCTCCATCCACTCTTTAACACAAAACAATACAATACAAAATCTTGTAATTTAACATTAAATCTAGTAGTGTGGATGTCTGTCCAGTGACATCTGCAGAGCAATTTTCATAATGCACTTTGTCCATCACAGACCATTAATTTTAGACCGGTTAATTTTCCCGGAATACATTCCTGGACCAAACATCTCAATCCCCATTTCAGTTGAATTCTAAAAGGCGCACGGCAGGTCAGCTTTCTTGTATTGGTTCTGGGGCCTCATTGTGGGGGGGGGGGGAGACAAGAATAGAGCAGCTGCCTCCCCCAAAAAAAAGTATGTCTAAAGTAGGTCGACTAATTGGGAGCTTTCTTCAAATCGGAGTGTGTCGCGTCTGCCTGAGAGGCAAGGAACATACAGTCTGAATACAAATAAACATGATCTGTAAAATGGATGTGCACCTAAAAGTTATAAAAAAGACAGAAGTGGATAAACAACCAGAACTTTCCGTCTGAGTTTACAGTCGGGAAGCGCGTATAATAATAATAATAATAATAATAATAATAATAATAATAATAATAATAATAATAACATAATAATAATAATAATAATGAGCGGAAGAAGAAAAAGAAGAACAAGAAACAGAAAAAGAAGAACAAGAACAAGAAGAAGACGACGAAGAAAGATTGTGTGTCAAAATCCTGTAATTCTTTTGAATGAACGGAGCAATTGATTTAGAAATACTAATAATAGTATGTCGTCTGACATTTACCCAGCCTGTCATGTGTTTTTTTTTTCTTTAAGAAAAAAAAAATTAAGAAACTTTTATCTCAGATCATACCGACCTTGTTGTATGATAAACAAGATTTTCAAATTTTTTTTCAAATTTTATTTGTTTAGTGATATAATTTTTCTGTTTTGTTTGGCTCCTGTGTCGCTGTTGTCAGTGCAGGGTGAGTTACTTTGCCGTGTGATCATCATCATCATATGCCTGGCGATCATGCCTCTCATCGAGTGTGGATCTGAAGCTGCGTGTATCAGTTATGTATTGATCCTCCTCCATGTCATGACAAAAGGCCGTTGTAGCATGCGATCGGAAAATGCACCGTACACTTCAGTTTAGTGATGTGCTTATGAACGCCAGTCCTAAACACATATGCACAGTTTTCCGAATCATGGCCACACACTCTCATTGGCACGCGACATGATGATGCTGATTATAACTGAAGTAAAG